AGAGAACCCCTTGAGTTAATCACGAGCCTTTGGCCAGATTGGGTGTTTAATTGTATAGCGTGCTTGGGAGAGACCTAGATGATTAAGAGTTGCCCCTTGCATTTTATTGCGAATGTCCATGCTTATTGCTATGCTTGTGCTTGTCACATTAATTATGCTTGATTCCCCTTCCCTAGTGACTTATTTCTTAGGTTCTAATTCCGTAGTTAGTTAGCTATCATCTTTTGTTTTAATCTACCCCTCATATCTCCTTTGACCTAGCTTAGTTGGCGGTAGTGTTGACAATAGTTTAGCCGTCTCTATGGATCGACCCTTTACTTACCATTAGACTTGTCTGGTGTAGGTTTAGGTATAAAAATATTGTTTGGTAGAGGGATAGTTAGTCCAACGATCTAATCTAATCCGCTCTCACCACTCCAGCCCCACAAGCATGCTTGGTAGCAAGCCTAGCACGCATATGCATGCTTGGCCTACGGCATGCCTTGCGATGCATGCGGTGGCCTAGGCTAGCCTAGCACTCGCATGGCTAGGCCAATGCGAGGCTACGACTTAGCTCGTACTTGTCGCTTGCTTGATTTCTCGTCTTGTCGTATTCCAATTCGACTTGACTTATGACGCTCGGTTTCGACGCTCTAAGCTCGATATCCGACGTCTTTGTTCGTTATACTCTAATGACTCATCTAACCCTTCGAGTTGATTCGTCGTCTTGGATCAGTTATTCGATTGGGGTGCGACCCGAAGGGTTCAGTCAAGATTAAGTTGTAATATTAATTATATATTAATATTATTGATCGGAAGCGGCCTCCACTTAGGCATTCCGATCACTTGACCTCACTGAAAAATTAGCTTTCTAATAATTCCGAACCCTCTATCGGAATAATACACTTGTTGGAAGGACACCATTCCTTTCACAATGTTATGGTATGTTTTATTATGGAGTGTTTAATTGTGTTTCCCAAATTTTTAATTTTCATTTATGTTTTATTATACAATGTTTAAGAGTAGTGCTGAATATGTCAAGTTAACACACATAATATTAAAGTGAAAATTTTAAAAATTGAGTACATAAAAAATTAACTACATATAAAATTGAGTACATAAAAATTGAGTACATATAAAATTGAGTACACACCCTAATTTTGAAAAGGATAACATAAAGTACCTACAAAAGATGTACATAAAAAAGTTCCAGATCAAGATGCATCTCCAACAAGAAGTACTATCAAAAGGATTTGAAAAGTAGATGTACTTACAAGAATCTCTTTCTTGGTTTCCTTTCATGTCAGTACCCGTGTTGTCTACTCAAACTCAACCTACACCCCTACGCCTAGTAAAGGTCAACACCTCTTTCCACATTATTTTTAGAACATACTCTTATTTTATAAAATATACAATATTTTCTAACCAAAACTACTATATTTAAAATTATAGTCATTTTCTTCGTGATACTGTTACATGAACGTTACTTCGTGATAATGTTACATGAACGTTATTTTTCTGACAATATACAATTATTTTCTAACCAAAACTAATATTTATAATGTACGAACTGTGATATTAATATGCAAACTGTGAGAAAGTTCAAAGGGACGAAGTTCGTGACATTACTATGTAAACTGTTATTTACATTGTATACATTGAAATGGTGACTTGGAAAACTTCCCGCCAAAAAAAGCGGTAAAGTATTTCCCCTTATAAGGTAGCACCTGCTATGCAATTCATCAAAACACCTAATCATCACCATGAAAGAAATTCTCATCCCATCCCTAATGATGAAAACCCACAAGATAAAAAAAAACAGCTTAAACTCCGTTCTCCTTACGAGAAAGCAAAATCAATTAGGGTCATTTTGTGCCCAAGTTCATCCAAAACCATGATAAAATTTAAATTCCTTAAAAAAAAAAATTGAGTTGTTGAATTTGATCTTAAATCCTCAAGAGGCAGAACCTTCATCCACCAACATCGTTCAAATGTCACAATGTGGAGACATCTTACCTTTGCACATTCCAGATTTGAGTGATCTAGCATTACTACCTAAACCACTGAAGGTGTACTTTGAGTGGTTAGTTCGAAATACAACTCTTGGTACTTTGTTAACAACACTCGATAGAGTGTCATCCTTGAACGAGCCGATCGCCACCTTAATCGATAAAGCACCATTTATGACCAGGCTCGGGGAGTACTCAACGACAGTCCATAGCTCTTGCCATGTACTGAAGTTGTTCGTCACGAGTTATGGAATTCAAAAGACCATAGCCTTTGAGTTAAATTCCGGTAACGTGACTAAAGATGCGAGAGATAGGCGCAATTTCACAATGAAGCTTAATGTGAATGCCCCTTTGTACGAAACAGGTGCAAGAGAATATAGAATACTATTGTGGAACTGTAAGGGAATATCTCATGATAATTTTCCAACTCAAGCTTCCCACATAATAGAGGCCGTCAAGCCACACTTGTTGATGCTAGCCGAGACACGGGTGTCAAACATGATCACAGGATGGGTTACAGTCGCGTTAAAACCTTACATGATTTATTTCGCTGACCCTAAAGGTGTTGGTGGTGGTATGGCAATACTAAGCTTCTGCAAGCATTGTGAATTTAAGAATGTCACCACAGCTCCAAATTATTGGAAAAGGGAAGCTTTGATTAAAGAGTAGAACTAAGGGGTGGCTTTGATTAAAGAGTAGAACTACTGAATTAGAATTTAAGAATTTTGTATTAAGCTGTGTATGTGAATTAAACTATTTTACTTATTAGTTCAATGATATGTAAGTTTCCAACTGAAATGAAAATCCTATAATTAATTACCAGTTAAATGAATGATATGTGAAGTTGGCTATTTTCATACTTCAAAAGTCCATATGAATGACCCATAAGCCATACCTAATAATGGCCAATTTACAAGAAGGGTCCCATCGAATGCAGGCCAATTCATCGTATGGTCCAATGTATCAATATAAAACCACAAAATATAAAGGCCAGTACATCAGTTTGCAAAACTAAGACCCATCACCATTACATGAGAAAATCCATAAGTTAAGTCCTAACATTTAGTTACACCAAAACAAGCACCACCTGTTTAACATACATATCATCAGAAAATGCTACTTTTTCGTAACGGCGTCCGACACATCAGGTCGTGCTTCATTGAATTCGCACATCAAATCCTCAAACAAGAGCCACGATCTTTCAACATTATAATCAGATTCTCAGAAGAATGGCAAAGAGAATATCATAAATAATGGCAACAACAGGTTAGTAATAATCAAAACAAAGACACTTCTTTCATATGTCATGAAAACAAACCAATGAAAGTTCGGTTAGGAGCCTCTTCGCGTTCCGCTTGATGGCAGCTAGTATATGCACTCCACATCTATGCTAGGGAGTAATAGAATTACATGCAACGTCAGCAATGTATATGGACATTTTGATGAAACATGCGGTCGTATGTACGTTTCAGTTAAAGGAATGACACATACAAATTGCCCTGTTGATCCATTCTAAGGGAAGTAGTGACCTAGCTCCCAACAGTTCCTAAGGGCCATTGAGGTTCTAGACGCTAGAAAACAAGATCCATTGCATATGCCTACACACAATTGGAAGATGTAAGAGGTCACAGACACATTAATCCTAAAAAACGAGGGTACATTACAGCTCCAAAAAGTACCAGCCGTTTGACATTTATGGAGTGTAAATCTGCGGCCGTGTACATCTCTATGGAATCCATCACAAGAATCACTTCCCGATTCACAAAAAAGGCTACACATCACCAACGATTATTTAGAACAACGGGGATAAATACCTACAAAAGAAAAAACACACAATATGAACAGTACGAAACTTGGTCACTTCAGTATTTCCTAAACAAAATCAACACAACATACGGCTCTAATCTTTTACCACATTAATCCGGTTCGGAGATAAACCCGACAATTGCCTTATGTACACTTTTGTTGTCCGGTCGAGGTCTTCTAGGGACTTTCTTTGCAATACACGAAGCTGCCAAAAATAGCTAAAGTCAGATGTGCTCAAAACATACTCACAAAACTGAGTTGAAGCCTTCAGTTTCCAACACATACCGCAAATGCGAGGTCCAAGATAAATCGCCCGCTGCGACCTTCAAACCGCTTAGCCTAAACCTTTTCATACATCCTCGCAGACACCTGCATATACTATCATTACAATCACCTTGAGTTAGTAACTATAATAAACCAAACTGTATATGGACCATTTTATGAAACCTAGATTTATTTACCTGATCACCAACTTAGCCCCTAGTCAAAGCTATGCCAGCACACGTAGATAGTGTTGCTTGATGTCCGTCACAACGTAGCATCACAGGATCTTCATCCCTACCCCAATAAATTTTATTTCACAATTAATGAGGTGTTATTCAGTGGACAAGACAAATATAATGTTCAGGAGAAAACTATGCACAACACTACTTACATTTCTGTGAGCTACCTTCTCGGAGAGAAATTGGTGTTCACCCTAACATACTCCAAGATACAATGCCAGAATCTACGATACTTCCGAGGCCGCCAATTGGTGACATATCCTTGTACTAGTTTCCTAGGTGTGGCTGTTTTCTTCTGCTTTCGCCAACTACGTTCACCAAAAGAATTCATTGACGTCGACGTCTCAACATCTTCATCTTCCGAGCTAAACGGTATCTATTCATCACTTCTCTCTAGACTCCGTGGTCCCCGTATTATTTGGTTTTCCGGGGACCTACCATGTATGTCAGAGGTCTCCTTATCTAGGTTCTGTAGCATCTCCTTCTCTAGCCTCTCCTTCTCCAACTTCTCCTTCAATTCCTTCTCCTACCTTGCTCTCTCCTGTCTCTCCTTTTCCTCCTTCTCCTGCCTTTCTTTTTCCTTCCTCTCCTCCCTTTCCTTTGCCTCCATCTCTTGCCTTTCTTTTTCCTCCCTCTCCTTCTCTAACCTCTCCAACTCCTCCTAGATTTCCCTCTCCTGCCTCTCCTTTTCCTCCCTCTCTTGCCTCTCCTTTTCCTCTCTCTCTTTTTCCAACCTCTCTAACTCCTTCTCCTGGATTTCTCTCTCTTGCCTCTGCTTTTCCTCTCTCTCCTGCCTCTCTTTGTCCTCCCTCTCCAGCCTATCCTTTTCCTCCCTTTTTTTCCTTTCCTTTTATTGTCTCTCCAGCCTATCCTTTTCCTCCCTCTCCTGCCTCTCTTTGTCCTCCCTCTCCCGCCTCACCTGGCTTTCTTTTGCCTCCCTATCCTATTTTTCTTTTACCTCCCTCTCCTTCCGTTCTTTTACCTCTCTTTCTTGCTTCTCTTTTGCTTCCCTCTCCTACCTCTCTTTTGCTTCCCTCTCCGAAATATCCTACCTATGCCTCTCTTCTCTCTCCCACTGATTACTCACAAAAGGGCTGCCACACATTAAACCACTTGAAATGTAATCATTGACAGAGAGGTCAGAGGAACAAGCCCCTGCCACATCCAACATAAGATAAACAGTGGTCAGCTACTAACATGAATACGTTTAACAGGATTCATAAAATTGTACGTTACCCGATGCCTTATTCCATCCAAAGTAGCCATCCCCATTCTTTGGACGCTTTTTTGCATCCTGTGTGCAGATAAGTTCTCTTCACCATCCTCCTCTTGTAGATCCACAGATTGCAATAAAGCTTCTACAACCTATTCTTTTCAGAACATACATTACACCATAGTATTACCCAACCAAATCGAAAGTTCCGAAAATCAGTCACAAACCTCAGCAGCCACAGCCCGTCTCTTCCCCGGTATAACGTCCAAGGCACTTCGTTCGTGTGGCCGACCATATGAAACATTGATAGTCTACACATATTAGGTACAAACAACTCAGTCATCACACAAAAAAGTCATCACACAAACCAAGCACAAACAAGTCATCAAACATACCCCCAACTTTCTAAAATCACCTTCCCTATGGCGATCAGCCTTCTTAGCCTTGTTGATCTTTACTTCTGTCCAAACTTTCATCCTAGGAAGGACTCCCCACTTCACAGGGGGCCTTCGCAACCAATCAAGGTACAATATCTGCATAACAAATCACAGAAAAAGCAAAATCAGACACTCAAATCAAGAAAAGTATTAACATTTAATAACAATTTCAGCTTCTCTCCACAAATGGTATGGTTGCAATACCAGAAAGCCACAACATAAATTCCTTAAACCAAAGTAACATAAATAGAAGACTAGACAAAAGAAATATGGTACACCCTCCACATCTCTTGGCAAAACCCGTCTGAGTAAAACCTCCTTGCAAAGCTAAAACCTCCTTGCAAAGCTACTGATGGAGTACATAAGTTTATCGATCACTAACGTACACCACTCATAGGACTCCGTCTCGTTTGTTGCAATTGCTGCTAGAATTAGCTTAGGGCACAACCTATGGGATGTTGTAGGATACAGAATATTAGCTAGGACTAGTAGCAGAAAGGCAACCTTAAACTCATACACATCCTGAAGTGGAGCTTCAACTGCATCAACTAAATTTTTCCTCGGTATCCCACTCACACGGATAGGGGTAATTTAACTTAATCGATTACGCACTCCTCGAACAAAATGTTCCATGTCTTCATCATCAACTAGTTCCTTCGGAACCGGCAAGGGCCCCTTAGGAATGCAAAGAACCCAATGGACTTAAACAAGATCGAATGGAAACTCTTTCCCGTTGGAAGTAATCAAGCAATTATAGGGCACATCAGCCCTAGTTGCAAGCCAATAAGCCAACTCCCTCGAAAGCTGCCTATCAACTAATACATACAACCAGCAAATCCCATATCCTTCACTATTTTCCTTTTTCTTTCATAGAATTCATTGATAATTATACCAAATTTCTCCACACGACAATTAACATTTATAGGCTGCAATTACATAATAAACAAAGACAAATCAATTAGGGCTGAAATTGCCATTCACCATGACTATTATTTTTTTTTCACAAAAAATTATCGACGAATTTTATCCTTTTCAGCTCCTCCTAGTTGCTTTACCTAATTGCTTCATCCTACCACCCTCACTAAGTGTATTGTCCTACACATAAACACATTAGCTAAATTCACCTCCTACACACAATGGCAAACCAAATACAAAACACGCGTGAAAACCAATTAACAACTCACCCTATACAGAGCATCATCAAGTTTCTTACATACCTAAACCAAAAAAAAATCATTATTAACACAACAACGCTAACATTTATTGAAATCGAAAATATGCAACACTTATAAATGTGTGTTACGATTACCTTCAGCAAAATCCTACCACCAGAATCATCATCAACATCAGACTCAACAGCTTCATCATGTATTTGTTGATCATCCTACATTTTAAATTCACAGGACAATTACAATCAGATAAACACTACACTAAACTTTAACATATTCCTAAAAACATTGCAATAACATTCCTTCAACCCAATATGAAAGATACATACTTAAAGTATTCTGATCCTTGCCCATTTATCTGTATCTGGCTGATACCAAGATAACCTCTACAATATCTCCCATAGAGATGCTTGCCCATTAATAAACCATAGACATTCACACTAGAACCTAAATCAAACACTATTCGACTATGGTTGGTACTAGACCTAAATCAAACACAATTCGACTATGGTTGGTACTAGACCTAAATCAAACACAATTCGACTATGGTTGGTATTAGACTTGCTATTACCAAGTAAGAGACCCTCCTGTTAATGGGCTGTTATACCAGCCAAAAGGATAATCATACCACCCAAAAGGATAATCACACCACCCAAAAGGATACTCAGGTAGTAATACAACATAATATACACAATTACATTATCCTAGCTAAACAATTTTCACACAATTCGACCACTTTAACTAATTGAAAATAAACAACATACCAACACAGCAAAACTTTTGCCATAAACACAATTACTTTATTAAGAAACACTAACCTTCGCCGCACATCGACCACCTCTTCTTCCATCCCTTCGACTTCCACCCCTTCCACGACCCCTTCTACCACCTGCAACAAAGACAAAAATTTACAAAACCCTAATTTCGTACAACAATTTCCTTATACAATTGCTTTTTAGACTACCAAAATACCGAGAATACTTTCGTTTACCTGACATCAGCCTACAATTGCTTCCTTGAACACCTTCAACACACACACCTTACAATTGCTTCCTTGCGGCGCACAACTATTGAACCGAGTAAAATTCTACTGAAAAGACTACCAAACTACCGAGAATCCTTCTCCAGAGCACACTGTCTTCGCCGCTAGGTTTTCGCGACCTATTTTCGCTGAGTTTATGCTAGGCTTTTGCTAAGTTTTCCGGTGACTTCTTTTTTATAGAGAGAAAAAGAAGAATTTTTTTTACAGCAATAAAATGTAGAGAGAGAAAATAAATTTGTTTTTACAGCAGTAACAAGTGCCCAGTTACTGTGAAGCTTTTACGCAGCAAATTACTGTTTTTCCCCTGGTATTGGACACACATGTCCATATCGGGTAACGGGCCATCACGCCTTGGTTATTGATTAGCTATTGTGGCTTTTTTTTAGGCTGTAGAGTTGTAAAAAGTGATTCGGCCTAAGAAACTAACTTGATTGAGTATGCGACATGTCTGATAATATGAGCTTTTGATATTGATATAAATTGATCTGATTTTTATCTAACGTCGGGTTTAACACGCAAATTTAAGATCTGATTGTGGTCTCCAACCAACAAAAGGAAACTCGGCATTTGATGTGGACTTGATAACTACACATTGTACTACACTCACATCTAATTTGATAGCAACTTGTCAAGCGACTTAACCAACATGACATCTAGGCTACTCGTCTCAATGGATATCGAGATTTAATTTGATCTGTATTATTATGAACATGACTTAAATTAACATGATACCCGAAATAACCCTGACCAACATAGACTAATGCTTAACTTCAACCTAATTTAAACTATACCCAATTAAACTCAACTCAAGATAAGTAGATATGTTTCACCTACATTGTTTCAGTCCAATATGTACTCCCTTCATTTCAAATCAATTGTAATATTTTCTTTTTCATTCGTTTTATTATGCAACATGAAGACTCCACCTTGATACTAGTTTTTGTTACTTATTCTAACGTTATAATGATGGAAGTCAAACCCACTAAACTTGTTAGTTATGTGCAAGTTAAGCCCAATAAGCATGCTGGATTAAAATTGCTACACTGGATTATTTTTGCATAAGTATTTTAATAATAATGTTTCTGATTATTTTAATCAAGTTATTATTTTTATAATTTAATCTTTTATTTCGATTTTTTTTATCTATATGTTATGATTAAGATAAATATATTTCTTAGTCATATTTTAAAATAAAGTTTATCTTGTGCTACCTAACCTTGTTTCAAGGAAGTTGTTAGTCTTGTTGTTGCACAGGATAAGGCTGGCAGATAAATCTCTTCAAAGATAATTGTTGAAACAGAATCAAAACAGCTAGCAACGTTCAATTTCAAATAGCCGAAAGTTTTGGAGAAGCATTTTTGAAGGAATTCTGTTGAAGATTTTCAAATGTTTGAAATTAGCCCTACAACGTTTGAAATCAGCTTACAGCTCTATAAATAGCTTGAAAACTTGCTGGAAAAAGATCACCGAAATATTCAGAAGCCTAGTGCTATCAAGAGTTGTTATTTCTCTCATTCAATCATAGTTTTTGTTTATTATTTCAAAGTGAGGGAAAAATCGTGAGTGTACACTTGTGCTAAACATTGTAATCTTGAGTGATACACTTCGTAGTAAAATTATAATACTCGAAGTTGTTTTTGAGTGATTGTTAGCTTTTATTTCTAGGAATTGAGTGTCTAAGGTATAGCTGGGGTGCTACGGAGAGAAGATAGTGAGATCTTCTAGGGTGCTTTAGAGCTCTAAAGGAGGAAATAAAATTTGGTTTAAAATCCTACGGGTTTAACAACCCTAGGCGGAGACGTAGGCCTTTGTGCTGAACTTCGTAACAATTTGATGTGTCTTTACTTTTATTCTTGCTTTTGTTTTTGTTTAAATATAACTAGCAAAATCCAAACAAACGCTTCTAACATTTTGTTTTGCAATCGTTTTACTTTACAAACAGTTTTCAAAGTCTTGAATTTAAAACTGAGATTAGTTTATTCCGCCTTGAAACTAATCTTAAGACCTTGATATTTTGTGTTTTGCGAAAATTGCCCATACTCTATTCAACCCCCCCTTCTAGAGTATTATTATGTTTATTTTATCACCATTGTGATCCTTTCACAACACTTTATTTGGTTAGGGCCCACTATTACTCATTATTTAATTAGTTTCTCTCCATTAACCCCACTTTCACTAATTTTATATTATTTTTCTCTCCCACTAACAATAATATATATCCCCTGCCAACTATACTTAATATTATAATTTTTCACTTTAGCCCTCATCTAAAAACTACATATGTCAAGCTTAGTGTTGTGATTAATTCGAGATGGAAGGAGTAAATTGAAATGAGTACGAACTTGAGTATTATGTCACGGTTTTGTTATATCTAAATGGATAGTGTATGTGAGAGGGGGGAGGGGAATGTTATATCTTGTATGCAAATTTTTGAATAGAAGGTCTTGTATGGACTTAGTTACACTAAATTATTGTAGACTCAATCTTTGACACTCCCAAATAATATAGTCACATTCTAGATGATATAATCACCTTTTTAGATGATATAATTATGTTGTTGTAAGTCATCTTTTGAATGATATAGTCGTATTTAAAATAATTTATTCGGAAGATATAATCATCTTTTGGATGATATAATTATTTTTTGGATGATATAATTATTTTTCGAATGATGTAATTGATGTTTTGATGTGGATCAAGAGGGAAATTCTTTTGAAGAGCCAATCATATTGGTTTTAAGGCCAATAGGGTTCGAGCTTGGAGTAAAGAATCAAGAATGGCTAACATGCGCAGCCATTGAAGAAGAAGTCAAGGTCCAGTTGGGTTCCGACGACGGCAGCGGCGGCGACGCGCCGATCTGGGTGCCACGCGCCGGCTCCCTAGCTCCGGCCTGAGTCCAGCTACACGGCGGTGGGGCGCGTGTCGATGATGGCGGCGCGTGAGACGGTGGTTCGGCGGCAGTACGAAAAGAAAGATTTTCTATACTTAGTTTTTTCTAGAGTTTTTGCTTGCAAGTTTTTACCTTTCACTTGAAAGGGTTTTTCTTGGTTTAAGCAATTAGGAATCTTCTTAATTTCTGTTATTTTAGTTTAAAATAATTTCTAAGTCAATTAGGAATTGTTTTAAGAAGTTTTAGTTTAATTAGAACTAGTCTTATTACTAGTTTCCTAGTTCCATTAGAATTGGGTTTCCTATTCTATCTAGGATACTTGGGGATCAAGGCTAGGGTTTTTTCCTAGTTCGAATAGACTTAGGAATAGTTAGTTTTAGTCTATAAATAAGGGATTTTTCGTGGCTTTGTATACACAACCAAAACCAGAAAATTCAATACAAGTTTATTGTTTGTTTTGCTTAATTGCTTACAAATTCTTTTGCTAGTTTTCAATTCAAGGAGTTGTTTTGATAATTAGAACGTTCAATTCTTAGTTCTAGGAGTAGTCTAAGTTTTGTTCATCAAAGTACTTAGTTCCAGGAGTGGTCTAGGTAATTTGAGAGGCGTTGAATTCGTTCCAGGAGTGGTCGTTTTCAAAGTCATATCCGGTTCGTTATTCTTAAGTTGTTCGATTTTCTTAGGAAATTCGAAGGGCTTGTGTTACTTGTGTGATTTTAGATTCTTTATTAAGTTAAGGGGTTTAAATCCACATCAAATTGGTATCAGAGCTTGTGTGATACCACATCAAATTGGTATCAGAGCCAGGTTGTAAGCAATTAAGCAAAACAAACAATAAACTTGTATTGAATTTTCTGGTTTTGGTTGTGTATACAAAGCCACGAAAAATCCCTTATTTATAGACTAAAACTAACTATTCCTAAGTCTATTCGAACTAGGAAAAAACCCTAGCCTTGATCCCCAAGTATCCTAGATAGAATAGGAAACCCAATTCTAATGGAACTAGGAAACTAGTAATAAGACTAGTTCTAATTAAACTAAAACTTCTTAAAACAATTCCTAATTGACTTAGAAATTATTTTAAACTAAAATAACAGAAATTAAGAAGATTCCTAATTGCTTAAACCAAGAAAAACCCTTTCAAGTGAAAGGTAAAAACTTGCAAGCAAAAACTCTAGAAAAAACTAAGTATAGAAAATCTTTCTTTTCGTACTGCCGCCGAACCACCGTCTCACGCGCCGCCATCATCGACACGCGCCCCACCGCCGTGTAGCTGGACTCAGGCCGGAGCTAGGGAGCCGGCGCGTGGCACCCAGATCGGCGCGTCGCCGCCGCTGCCGTCGTCGGAACCCAACTGGACCTTGACTTCTTCTTCAATGGCTGCGCATGTTAGCCATTCTTGATTCTTTACTCCAAGCTCGAACCCTATTGGCCTTAAAACCAATATGATTGGCTCTTCAAAAGAATTTCCCTCTTGATCCACATCATTCTCCCCCTCTTCAAAAGAATTTGTCCTCAAATTCGCATCATCCATGTAAGGAGAACAATTCCATGAAACCATCCAAATTCGACGAATACAAGCCAAAAGAACTATTACCTCAACGCTAGCAATTTTAAGCAATGTAACAACATCACCACGAGCAAGGCAATATTTTAGAAACAACCAATTCTCAATTTGGTCCTTGGTCTTCGAAGTTGACCATAAGAACACTTTAGGCTTCATGATATTTTTCTCATGTATGACTAACAATTTCTTCTCTTTATGCATGCCTAATGAATCCACCACTTCTAAAGAAACCATTAAATTATTATCTTGATTCACGAATGGCTCCTCAATAGTATCAAAAACCTTTTCCGACACCACCATTGGTAGATCATTATGAATAATCTGATCTTGAACAACGTCACACACAATTGGAACATCAATTGTTTCACTCACCTTTTCTTCGAGCTCTTTAGCACCTACATGTTCCTCTTCCTTATCCTTTTGACAATCTTCCTCCATCTCTTTAACTTTAACGCGGCATGGAATAATAGTTAAAGGAATAAGTTTGAACCTCTTGTTTCCCACCTTGACCGAATATGTGTTGGCCACACCATCATGTTTAACATGTCGATCAAATTGCCATGGTCTTCCTAAAAGAACGTGACAAGCACTCATAGGAATCACATCGCACCATAATTCTTCCTTGTAATTGCCAATGGAGAAATTCACCAAAGCTTGTTGTTCTACATGAAAACCCATAGAATTATCTAGCCAACCCAACTTATATGGTTTTTCATGATCTCTTGTAGGAAGTTGGAGTTTAGTAACCATCTCTGTAGACGCTACATTGGTACACGAACCACTATCAATGATCACCCTACAAGTTCTATCAACAACTTTGCATCGAGTATGAAACAAACTATCTTGTTGACCTTGAAAAATAATTTCTTCATGTAAATTCAGTCGCTCCATAAGCATATGTTTGTTACCAAAGCCAAAATCTACGTTATCATCTTCATGTTTTTTCTTCTTTTTATGACCTTGAAGTAACTTTGCAAATTCATCCATAGATTTTCGGATCCCTTCCTCCATAATTATGTGAAAAAAA